GTCGAGTCCCTCCTTAAATCTCAAGATTAACATACACGATAATGTCCCTGGAAATCCGGATGTTACAGAGGGAAAATGAGGCTTAGTGTTGCTTAAATACCACCCAAACCCTAAAAATTAGGGTTTTCCTCCTGAAGCTAGTACGCCCCGCGTATATAAGTGTATGCCCAGCGTACACATATGTACGCATGATATACTCCTCCTGCCTTAATTACGAAATTTCCACTAGGGCTTCAAGGCACATTCCCTTGGACTTAGGGACCAAAATGTCATATAATAAAATTAAAGGGATGAATTTTGAAGTAACTTAACACCGGAATGTTACATGGTTTAGACAAAGCATGCTTGTGGCATTGTCGTCTTGGACATGTCAACAAGAAACGCATCGCCCAACTCCAAAAGGATGGAGTGTTGGAATCATTTGACTTAAGGTCAGATGATACGTGTGTGTCATGTTTACTTGGAAAGATGACAAAATCACCTTTCACGTGCTCTTGTGAAAGAGGTGAATGATTGTTGGATCTCATACACACAAATGTTTTGGGCCATTCAGATCCACCACAAGGGATGCAAATCGATTATATATGACTTTTACTGATGATTATAGCAAATATGGCTATATCTACTTAATCAAGCATAAGTCAGAAACTTTTGAAAAGTTCAAACAAGAAGTCGAGAATCAATTGGGCATGAAGATCAAGATGCTCAGATCCGATAGAGGCGGTGAGTATCTTAGTATCGAATTCCACGGACACCTCAAGGAATGTGGAATAGTTTCACAATTGACACCTCCTAGGACACCACAACTTAATGGTGTCGCTGAGATGCGCAATCGAACCTTGTTAGACATGGTTCGTTCCATGATGAGTCGAGCTTCACTTCCAATCTCATGCTGGGGGTATGCCTTAGAGACTGTTGCCCACATTCTTAATCTTGTACCAACTAAGAAGGTTGCCAAAACACCTCACGAGATGTGGACATGGAAGGTTCCCTCGTTAGCACATATCAAAGTTTGGGGTTGTGAAGTTTTCGTTTAATATATTTGAATAAATAAAAATGAAAATTTTGGATTGAAAATTGATGACGTTACAAGTTACCGTTTTTTTTGACATGACATTTATCTTGTTCATTTTTAGGTTGAGATGAAAAAAACAAACAATGTCATTTATTTTTACTTGAGTAAATGACCGTTGAGTACGTTTTACCTTAGAGAAGAGGCAACATCTTTTATTCTTGTTTCCATTTTAACATAAAAACGAAAAAGATAAATACTATGTCATAAAACAACTAGTAATTTGTTTAAAAAAAAACCGGATATTTGGATTAATATGAAATATAACTAAAAACATAAGGGCTATTTTGCATATAAATAAAATATAAGGATTTTGAACGCTATTATCCTAAAGACAAAATTGCAAGAATGTTCCATGTGGTATGTCTAAAAATGCTACTTTAGGCGAAACATGTTTGGACTAGCACTAATAGTCCAAAAGTTTTCATTTTGCTGCGGCTTTGGTCCAAATCGGTTTAAAAAAATCTAAATGACGGATTTGCCATTTTCCATTTGTTTTTTGCTTTTCTTTTTGTTATTTAATTATTTTCTAACTAAAAAAAATATAAAAAATAAAAGAAAATATTTCTCTCTTTTTCTCTCTCTCTCTCTCTCTCTCTCTCTCTCTAACGTCACAAATCCCTTTCTTCATCTCATTCATATCCTACCAGTCAAAGGAGGTGGTTATCCCTCCTCCTTCTTCTTCATTTTCGAGCAAGAGAATTCCACCAGAGGTGGAGCTGTTTTCCGGCCACCAAGAAACACCCACCATCACTGGTGCCACCTCCCTCTCCCTTCCTCTGTTGCTTTTTTTCCTTTCCGAGAACAACCCACCACTTCACCACTCACCACCACTGTAACCATCAGAAACCACCACTCCAACCACCCACTTCCTTATGTTCTGTCAAACAAACACCAACCAAAAGCCCACGCTACTGCTGCAGTCGGAGTTCTTCCTTAGCCACCGCAAGACACCACCATCTCTAATCTCTTTTTTTTTTTTTTCTGTTGAATTGGAACAGGCGCAAGCTCCAACCATCGCCTTCTTGCCCTCCCTCTCGTCAAGCTCGTCGGAACAGCAAGGAACGAAGCAGCAGAAGCCGCCAGAGCAACCCCTGCCACTACCGACGCCGCTGTTTGTGGAACCACCGTCGCTGATTGCTGTTGTGGAACGAAGCAGCAGAAGCCACCAGAGCAACCCCATGTGTCCCCCTAAATTTCTAGTCATTAAACGCCCCATCTGAAAACCCTAGCCGCCAAGAAACCCTAACTTTCAGATCTCGATCTCATTTCTCTCGTCGCCGGCTGTGGAGGTTCAAATGAAGGGCAACAATGATCGAAGCGTGTGTTTGGGGTGGTGCTACCTGACCGTTGGGAGGCGGAGGGGCAGCCTAGGCCGGTGACAGCCGCCAATTTATTCTTCTTTGGTCGGTGGTAAGCAAGAGAGAGAGAGAGAAATATTTTCTTTTATTTTTTATATTTTTTAGTTAGACAATAATTAAATAACAAAAAGAAAAGCAAAAAACAAATGGAAAATAGCAAATCTGTCATTTTTAGATTTTTAAACTGTTTTAGATCAAAACCACAACAAAATGAAAACTTTTGGACTATTGGTATCGGTCCAAACCTGTTTGGCCTAAAGTAGCAATTTTGGACATACCATGAACCATTCTTGCAATTTCGTCTATTCTAAACAATATTTATTTATTAATTTACTCCTTATTTGTTCTCTCAAGAAACCCTTATATATAT